CAATGTGGCCGAGCTCGCGAGCCGCCCTGCTGTGTTTGCCAACGTAAATATCTCGGCGGAGTCTGGTTCGGCAGCGAGACCACGAAGTGACGAGGCACCTGGGAACAGACTCAGGCGGTGAGCCGGGACCTTTCCCAGAACATTTACCATGCACGCAGCGCGCAAGAATTTCTATCATCAGCACATGGATCTGGATATTCCGCTAAGAGGCGGCCTCTCGCTCCAGATTTCGAGAACAGGTAAGAGCTTCGTGGTGGACTTCGGTACTGAGGCTGCCGCGCGAGAATTCCAGAATTCCTCTGGGGATCGCCAGCTGCTGTGGGCTGACCCCAGGGACCAGGGAGCGTACGCCATCAGAGTCCGAGGCGACCTCCCGCTCGATGTCCGCGCGCGTCAACGCGTGGCTGCGTCCATCTGGGAGGGCATCGCGCAGCTGCTGCGAGCCACTGGGAAGGAGAGCGCGGCTTCAAACTGGGCTGCAACGTCTACCAAGGGATGATCAGCTGGATCTCGGGCGATGACATATTCGAGGCATTCAAGGTCGAATGATAGGATGCGCAGGGCTGGACTTTCAGCCCTTTCCTGAAGCAGTTCAGCAGGCTGGGCAGCAACGGCCAAGCCGCGCAGAAACTCGCCGAGGCAGGCGCGGCATGGGCCAACAGCTACTCGGGAATGCCTTTGCGGAACCGACCAAACATGACTCAGAGCTCGCTCGGTGAAGTCATGTCTGTTTCCTGTCCGGGGCATTCTCTTCCCACGTCCCGCAGTGCGACTGATGGTAGTCTGTATGCCGGGGCCAGCGCTGGTCGTCAAAGCGAGCACTGTGCAGACCTTGTCGGCGACAGTTGTGCATGTGCTGCTTCGATGCGTTCCTTCTCGTCCTGCACTCCCTCGTCTTCGTCTGAGTCGAGCGGGACCCCCTCTTCTCCTTCTTCCTCTGAAGAGCGGATCGGCAGCCCTGACAGTAGTTCCGATTCTGCATCCGCGTCAGGAGACCCACCCATGCCACCTGCCAGTATAGCCCCTGTCCGTGCCTTTCTCCCTATAGGCCCTCGGTTGTGGCCTGAAGCGTTCAGACTTACTTTGGAAGTGTGCGCTGGTGCCACAATATTCAAATCGATGCGCAGATTCGCCTCCGTCGTCTTACTCAGAAGTTCGATCTGAACCTTCTCCAGGAAACCCGCTGGAGCCGATGTGACCTAATCTCAATGCGGCGCCCTTTCCCGTACTTTCGAACTTAGGGCGCGTTCTTCAAGTCAGGTCTCGCTGTTGGCCTGGCCATTTTGATGCGTGCTCGTCTGCGTTGGAATTTGGCTTATCCTACCTTCCAGCCACTGATTCGTGGGCGGGCTGGCGGGCTGGGAGCCTGCGGGGGCACTGGGAAGGCTGCGCATTTCTGGGGTTCACGCGGGCCCGAAGTTTCCATTCCTGGGCGGAAGGATGTGATGTCGCGCGCTGCTGTTCGCAAGTGGTCCTCGGCATCTGCCGCCGTCTGTGCAGGGGGATATTTCAATCTCCCCGAGGAAGGGGGGGGGCTCTTGTGGCCGCCGAAGGTGGGCAGGAAACCCCGCGGGGCCCGCTTCAGCTCATTTTCGCGCCGCGCCCCTTGGCCTTGCTGAGACGCGCCAGAGCGAGTGCGCACATGCACGCACGCAGCGTGGACATCTGGTGCCCCTGGGCCGCCTAGATCGGATCCATTATAATCTTCCCACCGCCGCGCCATTGCAACTGCGGCCTTTCTCGGGGGCCCTGTGGGACATCGACTGCGACGTTAATCCAAGTGACCATGCAGCGCTTTTTTGTTACTTTCCACCCGGGGGGGGGCACGGGCTCAGGAGCCGGGGGCATTTGGAAATTCGCGCGCAGGCTGCAAATGCTGGAGGGGGCGGCAGTGGGGCCCACCACGCAGTCAAACCTCAGCGATGACCCACGTGCCAGACTGCGTGATCTCACGGATGTTTAACACGAGGTCGGGCAGAAATCCACGGGGAGCAGGTGTTTTGAAGGCCCTGGGCCCATGGCGGAGGAGGTTTCCTGGGTGATTCCCGTGGTTCGGGGGCGCCTTTGCGGGGGCTGGTCTGCGGTTCAGAGAGCTGTTCGAGCGTGGCCCGTTCCTGGGGGGCGCCGTGGCTTCCGGGCTTGCCAGGGGCCCCGCCCCGATGAGTTTCGTGAAGGTTCAGCCTTTGAGGTTCGGCGACCGCGCTTGGAGGTTCAAGCAGGGGCCCGAGCGGGCCCGAGCCTGTCTGAACTCGCAAGAGTCAAGGGGATGCCGCGTTTGAAGGAGCTCGGGCCCGCTTGGGTTTACTTGCGCGGATCTGTTGTACTCGCCCTTGTGATCGACTAGGCTGGCGAGACAATCGCGGGCCCGGATGAGCGCGCCAGGCGCTCGGCCCGGCGCTCGGGGCAAGTTGCCCGCCGTCGGGGGTTGGGCGCTGCTGCCTGTGAGAACTATGACCTGCTCATCCAGGAAACGCCCGAGGGTGTCCAGTGGCCCTTGTCGAGACCCGTCTTCGCCGACATGATGACGGGGTTCCGTGGCTCCAGCCCGCGCCCCGACTGGGTCCCCGGCGGCGCGTGCCAGAGGGCGGGTGAGGTTGCCGCGGGTATTCTTTCCGGACTGCACGAGCATCTTGCGAATGGTGGTTGTGTGTGCGCGTGCGTGTGTGCGTGCGCGTGCGCGTGCGCGTGCGCGTGTGTGTGTGTGTGTGTGTTTGTGTGTGTGTGTGCGTGTGTGTGTGTGTGTGTGTGTGAGTGTGTGTGTGTGTGTGTGTGTGTGTGAGTGTGTGTGTGTGTGTGTGTGTGTGTGTGTGTGTGTGTGTGTGTGTGTGTGTGTGTGTTCAGGTGTGTGTGAGTGAGTGAGAGTGAGTGAGTGAGTGAGTGAGTGAGTGAGTGTGTGGTGTGTGTGCGCGTGTGTGTGCGCGTGTGTGCGCGCGTGCGTGCGCACGCGCGGGCGCGCGCGCGCGCGCGGGGGGGGGGGGGGCGGGGGGGGCCGCGGACTTCAGCGCGGGCCTCGGTTTGGAAGTGCCCGCCGTCCCGCCCAAATGGGCGCGCGCAATGGGATGGTCTCTGCCGCGATGGCCCGCCCCCTGCTCATTGCTTTCAAGCCGCGATCGATCGGGCGCAGAATGCGTCCGCCCCTGGCCGACATATGCTGGGCCAGATTAGCTTGCTGCGTACCGGAATGATGTTGGTGAGCGCGGTCGCGCGCGGTGCGGGGCGCGGGCGCGTGCCTTGCTGACCTTGAGAGCAATCGTTTCCGAGCATGTCGCGCGAATGGATGCTGCGCGTTCTTGGGAAGATGGCGCTGCCTGGCTGGTTCGTTGGCGCGGTGAACGCGTTGCATTGCGAGCCGGCCACTTGCGTCCGATTTCGTGGCCATGAACACTCGCGGGCGTCCGTCCGAAGGCCGACCTGAAAGGATTTGCGGGCAGTCTCTGTCTTTGCCACATTTGTTTCGCCCCCCCCCCGCGCATGGCGAAGCTGCTGAAGCGGCGGGCGTGCTCGCGAACGCTGCTACCGCCACCGTCGCCCCCCTTGGTGGCAATGAATTATTCTCGGAGGTCAGGAGGGGGATCGGGGACCAGGGCATGAACGTCAGGGGCTGCCAGGTTCAGACTTCTGGGAAGCATGTGCGCATCGTGGCTGGGGCGGAAGGGGCGCGCCGCGTCTTGGCTGGCTCCTGGCAGATCCCCCGAGCGCTTCCAGGCTGCAAAGGGCTCCAGCAGAAGCTCTCTCAGCTGGTCTTCGTCTACGCTAGGTGCTGCTTCTTTGTGCTGGGTTTGTTGGGCCAGATATACCCGCCCAGCAAGGGTCTCTTAAGAATCGAGCAAGGGTGCGTCCAGAGGCTGACGGCGGCGCCCAACAATTCGAGATCCTCAATACTGTGCCGCCTTCGAAAGTGTAGATCTCATTGCGTTGTGATGTCTCTGGGGTTGGTGGCTGAGGCTGCCGCCTTCCGCGCGTCATTTAATAATGCTGCATTCCGCAAGCTCCTGGTTATCCGCGATGGTATGGTGAAGCGTGGGGGGGGCGTCTGTTACCCGCGAGTGGAACCTGCCGTCTGTGAGTTCCATTTTTATGACCTTCAGAGGGCGATGCGGTCTCTCGAGTCTTTTCCTGGTCTACGCTTGGATCCATGGGCCGCTGGGTTCCAAGGGAACGTACACGGTGTCCTGCATGCCTCGTCGAACCTGGGCTTTGTGCACCTGCTGCTCCCCAGGCTGAGGTACTGAGTACCAGGGCTGTCCATGAGCATTGCGCAGCTCACGTTTCCGTTCATACATGGTCACAACATGTGAAGACGAGGTGTAACGGATGGAACACGAATATGGGGGGCACCGTGGAGCGACGCTGTGGTGCATGTGGGGATGTCAGAGCATGGGTGGAGACTTTCTGGGCCACTACGTGGTGTGTTCGATGATCGTGCCCATAGTGGGAGCCTTCCTCGCTCCCCTGAGTCCTGGCCGAATTTGTAGTCCGTTTCCCGAAGTGTTTTTTTTCGCATGCTGCATCCCGATCTCTGCAGGAAGTGAGCTGTGTCTTGCGGCTGTTGCGATCGATCTCTCGCCTGGCATTCAGCAAGCATTCGCATTCGGGGGGCCGTTGTCGCTAAAGGAATTATGAGATCACGGGCCCGTGCCATGTCAAGGCGCAATGTACTTGTGATGGGGGCTTCCTACAGGAACCATCCCCTAGGGTGTAGCGTGGGACCTTGGACCGTTCCCGCTCCTCGCTGCCCCTGCTGCTGGCCCGCCCCCTCTCCTGCGGGGACTGGCGCTCCTTCTCCTCCTCCTCCTCCTCTTCCTCTTCCCGTCATGTTCTTGTCCAGTCTTCGTCGTGTCGCTCGCGTCGTTGCGTTGGTTCGTCGGTTGTGTCGTCCCGCCGTCGTCAGTCGTTCCAGCGTTCTCGTTTTCGTCTGCTGCCTGCCCTTGGGACCTCTTGCCACTTCGGGATCGCCATGCCGCAATCTCTTTTTCCTGTTCCACATGCTGTTGCTGTTGAGGCCCGAGGCGCGTCGGCAGCCAGAGCAGACAGCGTTCCCCCACCTGCCGGATCCTTCCTGGGCCCGTGCGCAATGAAGACGGTGGCAGCCCTCGTCCTCGCCGCCTCGATGACCTCCGCTAGGGCGGCCGCGGAGCAAGTCAACCCCATCGGCAAGGTGCTGGAACTGATCTCCGGTCTGCAGGCGAAGGTAATCGGCGAAGGCGAGACGTCGCAGAAGGTGTACGAGTCGTTCTCGGAGTGGTGCCTGGCACCTGCAGAAACCTTCCCAGGTCCGCTCGGATTGCTTGGGTCGGCGCTGGGATCTCCTCGCGGCGCCTCTGGCGCCGCCGCTCGCGCGCTCCGCGCGCCAGGGGGGTTGGGTGGGAGGCCCAACGCCGAGTTAGGAAAGCCGGGTGGGCCTCCAAAAGTGTATCTCCAATCTGTTTCTCGTTCCCTTAGGTGCGAGGAGAGCAACAAGAATCTTGCGTTCGACATTAAGACAGCGAAGTCTGAGGTCCAGGACCTGAAGGCCGTCATCAGCGAGGAGACCGCCAGGGTCGATTCCCTCACGACGAAGGCCGAGGACCTAGCTGGGCAGATCTCCACCGACGAGGCCGACTGGGCGGGACGAGCAGGCTGATGAATTAAGGACACAGAGGACGACCAGGACAACATACTGTAGGATCAGACCGCGACGACGCCGCGCCGACCTTCGCGGGGGCGTTTTAAGGTTGAAGACCGCCAGTGGCTTGGAATCGGCCGGTATCGAATCATGTGTTCCATCGGAAAGCCGCGTTCGTTCAAGGCTAGGCGGTCCGCATGGTGTCAGACACCAGAGCCCAAGTCGTCACGACGCGAACCTACCGTAGATGGAATAGCACGAACATGCAAACGTCAGCCGGCGTGGACCCCACACAGTGTTTTCTAATAGTTGAAATTATTATCGGAGGTGAGGGGGTGAGATCGAAGTGGAACGGAGAGCCCCCCTACCGGGAAATCGGTTTCAGTTTCGTGTTCGTGCGTGCCGTGCGTGCGGGCGAGGCGGAGCTGCGTGGGCGGGCGAGAAGTGTCCCGCCACTGGCTGAGGCGCGGCCGGACCAAATGTTTCCTGCCCGGGGCCTGGTGGCACGCGGTGTCCCGCCGGTGTCCAGCCGGTGTCCCGTCGGTGTCCCGATGATGATGATGATGATGATGATGATGATGATGATGATGATGATGATGATGATGCTGATGATGATGATGATGATGATGATGATGACGATGTTGATGATGATGATGATGATGATGATGATGATGATGGCCATGGTGGTGATGATGATGGTGTCCCGATGATGATGATGATGGTGATGATGATGATGTTGCTGATGATGATGGTGTCCCGATGATAATGATGTTGATGACCCTGATAATGTTGATGATGATGAGATGATGAGGTGATGAGATGATGATGATGAAGATGATGATGGTGTCCCGATGATGATGGTGATGAGGGTGATGATGATGCTGTTGATGATTATGATGGTGATTATGATGGTGTCCTGGTGATGATGATGTTGATGATGATGATGACGATGATGGTGTCCCGATGATGATGATGAGGATGATGATGAGGTGATGATGACGATGATGGTGTCCCGATGATATTGATGATGTTGATGCTCAGGATGATGATGGTGTCTCGATGATGCTGACGATGCTGATGATGACGACGGTGACGATGATGATGATGATGATGATCGTGTCCCGATGATGATGCTGTTGATGATGATGATGGTGTTCCGATGATGCTGATGATGATGATGTTGAGGATGTTGTTCATGATGATGATGAAATGATGGTGATGGTGGTGTTCCGATGATGATGATGGTGGTGTCCAGATGATGATGATGATGATGATGATGATGATGGTGACGATGATGGTGTCCCGATGATGATGCTGATGGTGTCCCGATGGTGATGCTGTTGATTATGCTGATGGTGACGATAATGGCGTCCCGATGATGATGACGGTGATGATGATGTTGATGATGATGGTGATGAGGTGATGATGATGATGAGGATAATGATGGTGGTGATGATGATGATGATGATGATGATGATGGTGATGATGATGATGATGATGATGATGATGATGGTTTCCCGATGATGGTGGTGATGATGTTGATGACGTTGATGACGATGATTTTGATGATGATGCTGATGAGGATGATGGCGTTGATTGTGAGATCCATTGTGATATCGTTAGTGATATCGATAGTGGGACTGAATGTGGGAGATATTGTGAGATCGATAGTGGGATCGATCGTGAGATCGATTGTGAGATCGATAGTCAAATCCATTGTGAGGTCGATCGAATGAAATAGATCGAGTGAGATCGATTGTGAGATCGATCGAGCGAGATCGATCGGGCGAGACCGATAGTGAGATCGATCGTGATATCGATAGTGAGACCGGTCGAGTGAGACGTTGGTTCCCCCCCCGAACCTCCTTATCACCCGAAGGGTGGTCGTATAGGTACTATATAGTGTGCAATCCATGTGGTGCACTCTATGTGGTGCAATGCGTGCGGCGCAGTCTATGTGGTGCCATATAGGTGGTGCAATCTATCTGAGACGCCTACGGCGAATCACCGCCGCCCCCTGCCTTTTTGGAAGCGCCTATGTGGCCGAACGTTGAGGCCAGACCTGCCAAGCTATCTGACCATGTGTTCCCCGAATCGGTTTGGAAAGCCTTCGGGGAACACGTGGGCATCTTGAAAGTCATCTTGGCCGCCTGGAGGCCATTTTGACTCTTTCGGGCCTTCTTGGAGGACGTCTTGGAGGGCCCTCGGCCGTCTTGCAGGCCATCTTGAGCGCCTTGGGGGCCTCTTGGGCCGTCTTGGGGGCCTCTGGGGGCCGTCGTGGGCCTCTTGGGCGATCTTTGGGTGCACTTGGGCAGCCTCGGGCCGTCGAAGGCAGAAAAAAAGCAAATGCCACAATCCTTCAAAAACTTATGGGAAATCACTGCTTTTGGCCTTTTCGGGCCTTCCTGGAGGCCCTCTTGGAAGCCTCTTGGGCCGTCTTGGGCCATCTTATCTTCGGTCGTTTTGGTGGGCTTCTGGCCCGTCCGACGCCGTCGGAAGCCGTTTGTGGGGCCTCGCTGGGCCGACTTGGGGCCCTCTTGGAATGCTCCAGGGCCATCTTGGAGACCATCTTGAGCGTTTTGGAGAGGCTTCTCGGGCCGTCTTGGGGGCCTCTTGGGGCCGTCTTGGGGGCCTCTTGGGCCGTTCTGGGGCCATCTTGGAGGCCTCTTGGGCGCTGTGGGGGCGATCTTGGGGGCCTCTTGGGTCGTCTTGGGTCGTCGGAGATCCGAAAAGGAGCAATTACAAAAAGCCTTTAAACATCTAAGTGAAATGAATGATTTGGGCCTCTTCGGGCCCTCCTGGAGGACCTCTCGGCGGCCTCTTGGGCCGTCTTGGAGGCCTCTTGGGCACCTCTTGGGCCGTCTTGGGCCGTCTTGGAGGTTTCTTGGGCTGACTCGGAGGCATCTCCTCCTTTCTTGGGGTGACTTGAGGCCGTCTTGGACCATCTTGGAGGCCATCTTGGGCCATCGTGGCCGTCTTGGAGGCCTCTTGGGGCGTCATGGGGCCATCTTGAAAGCCTCGTGGGCGATCTTGGGGCGATCTTGGGGAAAATGTTCAAAAGCGATGGGTTTCTTAGGGGTTCGCCAGAGCGCGAGCGTGGGACATTGGCGGCTTAGTTGAGTTGGCAACTCGCGGTCTGCCAGATGCGCCGGGGAGTTTCCAGCGGTCAGCTTTTGGCCGCGTTGGCAGCGCCAGACTAGCTGGCCGCAGTGCGCGCGAATCTGCGCGCGCCATCGCGGCCGCTGCGACGCGCCAGCCGGCTCCGAACCACCGTCGCGATCGCCGCAGCCAGGCCGCCTGGGCCCCGCGCGCCACATTGCGGGCGGGTGGGCGGGGCGTTTGCGCGAGCAGGTGGAGTGGGGAACTCGATTCGAGCACAGGTGAATGTCTCCATGCTGATTGTGCCTTACTCGCTGCTACAAACGCACTTTTCGGGGTCCACGCTGTCTAGAATGTGGCCACGGGTTTTTGAGCGTTGATGATTCCCGATGAACATACGCAAGCGCATCATATCATTTGACGCGGGTGCGGGGCGGGGGGCGGTCCCTTCCTGGTGCTGCGCGAAGTTTAATGCGAAATATAGGGCGGGGCGGCCTCCCAGGCGGGGGCGATGAACCTGGGGGGCGGGGGGGGGGGGCTGCTGTGGCGCGAATTAGTTAGGAGAACCAGGATTTGCCGACCCCATTGCTCGCGCAGTCATCCCGCCTGCCCGCCCACAACTTGGTTTGCGGCGCCCGGGCGGCGGCGATTGGGGCGGCTGCTCGGCGCCGGCTGGCGCCTGCTGGCGCGCGTAAGCTCGCGCGCGTAGCGGCTGGCTTGTTTGGCGCTGCCGACGCGGCTGCAGTGCCGCTGACCGATGGGGGCCCCCATCGCGTCTCATTGACCGCGCTGGCGCTTCAGTGCGGGTCGGTGACTCGGGCGGGCGGAGCATCGTGGCAACGCCGACAGCGACGGAAACGATGATGGCGACACTGGCGACGATGACGATGACGACGGCAAGGCCAATGGCGGCGCCGATGCTGGTCGCGCCGATGCCGGAGGTGGTGCTCACGTGTCGCAGGTGAAGGCATTGGAATTCTTACATGCGCGCGCGGCCGACGGGCGCGAGTGGCCCGCGTGGTACTCTGCGACAGGCAATGCGCCTCCCTCCCGAAGCAAGAGCGCACGCGCGTTCGATTGATGTCGACGTGCGCGCGAGAGAGGCCCGCGTGGTTGCAGAATCCCACCAGCCCTCTGGGCTTAGGTGGTATAGCGCCGCGTTTTTTTTTTGTTTCTTTGTTTCTTTCTCTTCCACTGAGGCCCCTCCCCCTACCCCCTCCCCCGGGCCTGGACGGGGCGCGCCGCGAGGCGTTGGAGTGTCCAAGATGGCCCAATATTGCTTCAAGAGGCGTTCAAAGTCGCAAGATGGCCTCCAAGATGGCCCATCTTACTTCAAGATGGGTCAAGATAGCCTCCGACATACCCCCAAGAGGCCCCAAGACAACCCCAAGACGGATCCAAGTGCCCTTCGAGCCTTCCACGGCGCTCTCCGAGATGCCCAAGCCCGTCAAACGCCAAACGGAAATCAATGTTTTTGGCATTCTCGCCTTTTCGCTTCCGATGGGCTCTGGAAGCCTCACGATGGCACCATGATGGCCCAAAAGGGCCCCAAGAGGGGCCCAAAAAGGCAGAAAACGGCCCCAAGATCGCCCAAGAGGCGCCCAAGAACGCTCCAAAACGGCCCCAAGACGCCTTCCGCGAGGCGGCCGCAGTTCAGCTTCGAGCGCCTTTTCGGCGCTGAGGCTTGCTGTCTGACGCAGTGCACAGATGTTTTGCTTTCGCCTCCAGCGAACGACATTGGTGATGCTAGTCCTTCTCTCTCCCCTTCCAATTTTCTGGCCTTTACCCCTCGTGTGCCCCTGTCGTTGTGTAGCTGGAACACTCGTGGTCTTTGCAGCAGTGTTCGTAGTGCGTCCTGGCGCTCTGGTTCCAGATATCAGGCATTCTTCTCT